GAAGAAACAAAAGCAAAAACAATCCGAAAGGATCCCTTTGATTCCAAGGGTTACACACACACACACACCGGAGCAGCTTGCAGGGGAGGGATCCTCCCAGGTTCTACACGCAGACTTGGAACCAGGCATGATGGTGCCAAAGCGATGTGATTCTTGCGGAATATGGACAGGCTCGAGCTGAAGCATGCACGTTTCTGGTGTTTTTGTGGCGGTACCTCGATGGAACTGATGAAGAACCAATGGAACTGACCAAAAGACTGCTTTGCTCTACAAATAGTGCATGTCATGATGTGTTCTATTGTTTTCTCTACCATCTTACCATGTGAACATGAGCTGGAATGTTACTGCTGTTATAAGAAAGCCACGACCACCATTACCGTCTTTGGAAGCTGGACAAAAACAGCACCATGGTGTTTGTGTGATATATACAGACCATCTCAAGTGTGTAAGGCGTAAGGGTCCAGGCCCTCTTGCTTCACTCAAATTCAACAAACAAACGTCCATGTCCATGTGCTCAAGGACCTACGACCACCGAAGCATAACCACCCAAAGCTCGCATGCGACAAGTGCCCCGCACCTTCTCTCGGGCACAGGCAGCCAAAGCTCCCAGAAGCGGCCGGTGGAGCAAGCCCTGAAGAGGCACATGCAGTGGTTGGTGAGTGCGGTATGATGTGGTCCAGAACGAAGAAGAAAAAGAAGGAGAAGACCAATGAACAAAGTGGTTTAAAAAGGCGTTCCACGTTTTGTCCTGTTGCATGAAGTTGCTATTCAACATTTGATTTGGACGCCACATTTTGAAGCCAAAGTCTGGAAGAGGTTCGGATTGGGAATCAATTTGATTCAGGAATTCAATTATGAGCTCTGGCCAAATAATTTGTTCTTGGACTGGCAGACCAGGCGAATCTCGTCTCGGAACGAACAAACCCAAGGAAGCCAGTGAATTCCCTTTGTCGGTCGTTTTCCGCTGAGTCTTGCACGAGGTCAGCATAGGCCCAGGCCAAGCTGGAGAGCTCGTGGGCCTGGAGAAACTCCACCTGCGGTGCAACGGCCGAGTCGACTAAGCCAAACGGCCAGCTTCGGACGGACGCAAGAGAGCTAAACAGAACTTGAGCAGTTGCCCCAAGCTAAACCGGAAACAAGCAAGAACAAATTCCATCATATGGAGAATTCACTCATAGGCAAACATTCACCCTAGGCAAAACCGTTTACTTTGCAGCAAATATACGTTGAACCAGAGGACCAAAAGCAACAAAACGTAGTACAGTACGTCTAGTGTCTTGTTGCTTGTTAGTGAATAGGACGTCATCGAACTGCACCGATGTAGATTGCAAACATGTGATTTGTTAAAGGAGATACTACAGTATATCGGAAAGTATTCAAAAAGCTTTTCATCAATATCCTTCAAAACTCGAGAACTCAAAGTTGTCAGGCTTCGCCACGGCATTTGCTAGTTGCTGGAGTACTAGCAATGAATTGCCATATACAGAATACAGTACGTTGGTCATCGTTAATCCTTATATATATAGAGAGAGAGAGTCATTGGGATCCTTGACTTCGTGGAGATGCAGTGGAGTTCCATTTGCCACACTTTTCCTAAAAAATTATGATTAATATTGCTGAATTGTGCACCCTTAATTAAAATATTAAGGTCGGTTAGCATGACTTCCATCATCTTCCACCGGAAGCTGCAAATGTCAAACATGTAGCTGGGGCCCCGGGGGGGCCTTGTCCTGCTTTCCATCCTCTTGGGAGGACCTTCCAAAGCAGCATATCCATGATCTTAGGCATATTTAACGGCCATTATATACATGCAATATCATGCAGTTACCAATGGAAACTGCTGTAGTCCAAATAGATCCAAGTAGCGCCAACAGCTTCTGATCTTCTCCTGTTTCACTGATTTCCTTGACCCTGTCCATTCTTGCCTCGGGCAGCACGGTCGCTGCGATCCACGCCATCTTCGGTGCCTCCCGCAGCTCGCGGGCGGCCAAGGCCCAGGCCATGTTCACTAGCTCGGCCTGGGCTTGGCCGGGCTTGGCAGGAAGACTCAGAGCTGAGTTGGCTCTCACAGACTTTCAGGGTCTGGCTCTCATGATCCACCCTCGCGGGATATCCAGATATATCTTGACTGATCTCCTGTTTCTCCACGAAGTGGTTCGTAGAGAAATTCAATGACATAAACAAATAAACATAAATACACCCAATTTCAGCCAAGCAGTTTTCTGCTTCCTCCAAGCTGTTGATCAAGGGAAGTCACAGGCGGTTCCGCTTCGGATGTCCCGGTTCCAAGCTGCGCGGTGGACCATGGTCGCGGACACGACGGGTAGGAGCGGATAGGAGGGGCCTGGGGCGCGAAGCCAAGCGAGTTTCGTTAGACCCCCCAAGTGACCCACCTCAACCACCTTCTCAGGAGGTAGATCAGGAGCCCTATAGGGGCTAGTCTAACAATCTCATGGAGCAAATTGCACCTTGAATGTGTGGATTGCATGTCCTTGCGTTGAGTTCCTTGGTTGAGTCTCCTCCTGGAAGACGGTGCAGGGCGAAAAGACACGGGTTCCACGTAGCTCTGGTTCTATGTTGCTCCATCTCGGTGGTTTCCTTCGCATGTTGTTACAGCACAGTGCTGTACCAAGATCTTGTAGGCTCTGCTTCTTTTGCCGAGATAGCCACGATCAGGCAGATCTGCTAGCCACTAGCCATCCAGGCTATCACTGCAACTCACCAGTTTGGAAGGTACAAAAGTTCAATGGTAAACCTTCTCGAAAAAAAGAGTAGCCAATATGACCTTCTCCACCCTGATCCGTCTGCTTTCCCGTCAACGTCTGGGACCCCCAACCGGTCAGCTTGCAGCTTAAGCAAAGTGAGCCACTGTGGCTGGGATGCTAGGGAGACTCTTTGCGGGCTTGTTGGGGCAGCTTCGCCAATCTGTGTGATCCTTCGAAGTACTTCGATCAGTTTTTGCTTTATATACTTCAAACAGTACTTCGAACATCTTCGAACTGTTTTGAAGTACTTGGAATAAAGATTCTACACAAGTTGGAGAAACTTTCATCTTCAAAGATGCCCCAGTCACTGCATCCCATGAAACGCTGGCAAATCCACGAGAGCATGTCGATTCTTCCATTGTTGTTCGTTAGGGTGTTCTGGGATTTGCAAGGCTATCCATGATCTTTGTCTTTTGCTTTTCACTTCTATAGCAAAACATTGAACCAAACTTCCTGCGACGCACATCCAAAGGACACGGAATCCTTAAGAAAGGACACCAGTCTTCAGTACCAGTAGATGCAGTTTGGTACAGAAAAAACAAAACTGGGTACAGTAAAAAAAGTCCCAACACATATGACCAAGATTGCTGATTGCACACAAAAGATCGAAAAAAAGGTTACAGCCTGGAGGAGTGAGGTAGAAAGAAACACCTCAATCCATCGATCATCGATCCGTCCAAGCGCTGTATATCTTTCTTCAGCCTTCAAATGTCCAAAAATGGCTTCAACCGCTCTGAAGTTTCGCTCCTAACTGGGTGAACCCTCCGGTCCAGTACTCTCCGCTACTTGGAAGGCTCCAACAAGACCCCGACCAAAGCTGTGGGACTGTTTCAGGCTGTTTAAGGATTTCCAAGCTGTTGAAACGGTGAAGCTTTCTGGGTCAAACTGGTCAGGAGGACATCTTCAGAGTGATGGTGAAGATGTTGTAGATCTGCAGGAACCTGGTCTCACCCCACATCCTTCCCGAGCTCTGAAACTGTGAGTGGATCAGAGTGGATCAAAGCACCGTGTTCAAAACGCGGTGTTCAAAACTGGCGAGCAGCTTCAGTTGGTGCGAGGTGCTTCACTGGATCGGTGGATGGGATGAGTCGATGAACCCTATTTCTATTAGGGCAGGCTTGTTGAAGCAAGGTTTTAGATGGATCAGGGAGTACCCGGAGTACCTTCCCTGAAACCGAAGTGGACCATCCCCTGGTGAAAATCGGTGAAAGGTTCCAATCGGAGTAACTGTTGCGCCTCGTGGTTCGAAGGGATTTTTGCACCCACCGATCGAGATTTGCCATTGACCTCGCAAAAAGGATAGCCATTGATGCAGTGACAGTGTAGCCAGGAAGAGTGATGAAAAGTGGTACTCCAAAATCACCACGACTGGGTGCAGCCCTCTCAGATGCTTCACAAATGCATCTCGATCTTTTCCAAGTTCCAACTAGGTGACGTCACTACGTAGCTTTTCTCACCAATTTATACAATCAAGAAATCCTCGATCTAGTTTGGGAAGCCCCTTAAGTCAGACTTGCAGGACATCCCCTGACAACAAGGAATAGGGAGAACGTGAAAGAGGGAAAATCGACCACAATCCATTGGTGAGAGTTTCCCTTCAAATACAAACCCAAATGGGTGTGTGTGTTGAAATAGGGAGACCTTCAAGGCGTTCCGGCCCCCTAGAAGGTTCGCACAATAGACCAGTCTATCCAGCCAGGGCCAGGTGGTCTCTCCATAAAATACCCTAGGACTCCTGGCCTGCCTCCTCAGAAGGTCGTTGGACCCCCGTAACCCACCTCAAGCACCTTCTCAGGAGGTAGTTGCGGCCCTAGGGAGAATACAAACCAATCAATTCTGTGAATCCAGTCTGCCTCAATCCAAGAGGCCGCCAAAGCTTGGGTGGCGCGTGAGGGAAGAACATCTGCGAGATTACCTCAGGCTGAGGACACAGAGATTCCAGGTCTCTCAAGGCCATAGAATATTTAAAAACAAACAGAAAACAGAACTTTCCAGGTCTGCTTTGCGGGGGGGAGATCATGTTTCCATCTTCTTCTCTGGGAAGAAGCTCCATTTATTCCGCCGAGAAGTTCCCCCCAACTCGTGCTTGGAGCTACCATTTCAGCAGGGTCCCATGCTTGATGTTGAGTTATATCAATATTATATATATATATGTATACAGAGATATTACTATATCGTATGTTATCATTATATGCATAAAGTGTCCCAATAAAACTCGACCTTGTTTTGGCCTTTGCACAGCTCACAACCTGTCTGGACCTTCTCCACAACTGTCGGTGCCCGGCACTGCTCTCGCCGTCGGGACCGGTCTGAGGAGGTCGGACCGAAACTGCGGGTTCCGCGGGTCCAACGACGGTCCTTGGAGCCCCGCACCCACCTCAAGCACCTTCTCAAAAAGTTGCTTGGAGTTGTAGGGACTGCGCCAATTTCAGACCTTTTTTTTGCGCCGTTGCTCTGTCTTCGCGAGCTGTTGGACACCGGCACGAGACATGGGAACCAGCGCTAGGTATACCGTTCGCAGCACTAAATCGTGAGGCCTGAAAATAGACATTTGGAAGACTAGCTTCCTCCAGCTGCACCAGTGGTTTTCAGGTTCCAGGAAGTTCCGGGGAACATCTTCCTGGTCCAGCGCGTACTTGAAGACTGCACATCCCTGGCTCCACATTCTCCAAGATTTGTTCTGAGCGCTCTTCGTCCAAACAGCTCTAGAATAGGGAGACCTCCCAAACACCTCTCGGAAAATCCAAAAAATGTATTTGTTACTCGTGAGTAGCCATGCCTTGAGCTACTAGTAGCTTCTCGTTACTATATAGTGCAAACTGAATCCATGTGAATCAACTAGGAGCCAGGACGCTACTAGTAACAAAGGGCATCGCTACGAACGGTGCAAGAAGCAGAAGCTACTAATTAGTAGCTCCTGGCATCGCTACGAACGGAGCAAAAGTGCTTAGGAAGTCCCCTTATGAACATACACATCCATATCCTCAAGACCGGTTGCGCTCGAGACCTTTTTCGCATGAAGACACACGCTCGAGACCTGACGCGAGGACGAAACCACGTGACGTATATACATTCACAGATCTTGTGATCGATCGACGTGATGAGAAAACCCACGACTCGGTAGAGGAAAACGCAGGAAAGAGACAAGCAAGAACTCTCGGATCCTGCGCTGTTCTCCTGAACCCGTTTTGCCCGACGCAGTGGTCTTTTCCGTTAGCTCTGTACCAACTGGAGGCAACTTTCTCCTATATAACATGAACCGACTTTGTGGGCGTCTTCTACAGTGCTTGAACCGATTTCACGGCACAACACCCAGACAAATATATTACTATATGGTCGAGAACCTATTTCATGCTGGTATGTTGGACTTCCTGCTAACCCACGTAATGCCATGGTGATGGCTCAAACCGCATCTAGGTCTTCGTTCCATCTTCAACTTAAGAACTCCGGCCATGCTGACAGCACTCAGATTTTCAGCCCACGCTGCTACAGTGAAGACGCTGCCGAACGCCAAAACGGATCGATAGCTGATGAACCTCACAGGTGAGATCGGAGTTGCGTCGTTGGAATGCAGTATGTCAGTGGTTCAACTTACTTCGAATACTAGGGAAGGCGGCCTTGCAATCCCAAACACATGGATGGAAAAACAGGATATACCTCGTCACTAGTGAAAGGATGTGAATGGGTATAGGGATCTGAACCAAACATAGGGTCTAGGGTATCCAAGTATGAGTAACAATTAATTACTGACTGATGAGACAAACGACCAACTCCAAAGATTTTTCCGCAGCTGAGTGAACCATCTTTGAGCGATGAAGTCTATAGAAACCGCTTCAAGCCACTGCTGCTGTCATCTGGTTATTTATGGCGCTTGGAAAATGTCAACAACCACTGCCATGGAGGCCCAGAGTGAGCTTTGATGGTTATCCTGCAGCCAAAACAACACATGTGCCATCGACTACAGAACATGATGCTGCATGATGTGTCTGTGCAACCATTCCAATCTCCGGTGGTGGTCGTGGAATGCTTGGCTTGATTGGTATTTGCAGCTTGATTGATTGGTACAAGCACCGATGATTCGACTATGAGTCAGTGATAGTCAGTGAGCAATCCCATGCACTCCATGTATGGAATATATGCCTACATTGACCCCCCCAAACCACCCCAATGTAGGCATATATGGCATACATGGAGTGTCTGGGAATATAGATTTGTTAAACAATTATATATATATATTCTGATCATGGATAACCATTGCTGTATACAATTCATAAAAGAGGGCTCGAGGCCTGCAAATGACGGGCTTGGGCTTGAAATTCAGTTCGGAGCGGTGTCAGCTCAAAGCTCGGTTCCCCAGACAAGTCTCTTCTTCCGTGTCGTCGTCTTTTCACCGTCTGAGCATCCCAAACTGGAGCATGGCACAAAGCGCCACCAGCTCGAACGCGTGTGACCAAAGAGCCTGGATCCGCTATCTCTCGACCGCCCCCGAGTCACGCTCGACTCGACGGCATGTCTTTCTGCACCGCCCAAAGTCCAAGTTC